CGACTTTGGGGAGTTATGGGCCCGCCCAGGCGGCAAGCCCGCTACGTGCGAAAGCCTTGTGACTGAGCTGGGCGGTTTGGCTGGCGTCTGCATCAGCTACAGCATCGATTTGCAAACTTGTGCGGCAACCTGCAGATTTCTGATTTTCTGCGTGCAATACGTGCGAGCGACTGCGGTTGCCGACCGCAGCTGTTGCTGGCGCGGCGAGCAGGCATTGCTGCGCTACTTCTCGACTCGGCGAGCCTGCGCAGCGAGCTGCGCCTTGATATGCTCGGGCGGCTGAGTGCACGTGAGCTTCTCGTAAGTGCGGTGCAGCGCGCGTTTCCACGAGCGCACGTTCTGTTGGAATTCGCGCCAGCTGCAGTTGTGCAGCCGCGGCGTCGCGGGGTCGTCATCGGAGCGCAGGTGACGCGGAATCGCTTTGGAGTATAGTATGTATTCTTCCGTTTTCTTCGCGCGCGCGATTTGCTTGAAACGGCCTTCCGACGCGATGATGTACGAGCCCGCGCGCTTCGCGTCTTCGGCTTGCTTGTTGACGCTGTTGCTCTTTGGCGGCGGCATCGCGGCAATGTACGCCTGCAGCGTGTAGGGGTCCGCGAAAGCCAGGCTCAAAAAAAGTCGTCTCCAGTGCAGCAGTGAGTAGCCGTGGCAGAACAGTTTTTCGTCTTCTTCGAACTTCGGCAGCGCGTCTTTCGTGATGTAAGGGTTGATGCCGCCGTTCGGAAGGAACGCGCTCGAGAACAGCGCGGAATCTTTGTTCTCGCTGGCGATGATTTCGTTGATGGTGTTCACCAAAATGTCCAGCTCGTCGCTCGAGACGCCCGGGTCAGTGAAGCGCAGCGCTGGCATTGTTTTCGACACACCAACCGCGGACTCGACATAGTTCGAGATATCCACGACGCGATCAAGATCCGAGTCGCCATCACTCGCGCTGCGCTCGTCGACAGGGGCCGGTTGCTGCTGCACTTCGGCGGCGACCTACCAGCTCACTGAGCTTTTGTGGACTCAGCGTGTTGTACGATTGAAACTTCATGCGGACCTTTGTAACCGCAGCTCACGCGTCGATGACATTAATATTGAATCGTCGATTTGTTTAAAATTAAAAGGCGGGAATATTGCCGCTGCCCGGCGGTGCTTGCGCTGCCGCGCGCTGCGCTTCGCGCATTCGGAGCCGCTCCTGACTGCGCGCAGCGCGGCGCTGCTGCAGCCGTTTGCTGAAGTTGCCTGCTTCGATAATGCTGGTTGCGTAGTTCAGGGCCTTAGTCAGCGGTTGTGTGTCTTGCATCACCGCGACGACGTCTAGAGGCAAGGTGACGAGTTGGACGTTGTGCTTCGCGCGCAGTTCTTCAAGCGCGGCGCGCCGCAGCGCGGCGGCGCGCTTATTTTTCGCAGGAGAAAATATAGTTACGCACGAGCCTTCTTCGCAGCCGCGGCCCGTGCGTCCAGCGCGGTGCACGTACGCCGCGGCGTCGCGCGGAAAGTCGAGGTTGACCACCCAGTGCACGCCCGGCAGGTCGATGCCGCGCGCGGCCACGTCCGTGGCGAGCAGCGAGTATTGCGCGTCCATCTTGAATTGTGCGATTGCGGCGTTGCGCGTTTGTTGCGAAACCAGCGAGTGCAGTCGCGCGACAGGCAGTTTCAGCTTCTTCAGCGCGTGGTACAGCAGCTCGACGGTGCGGATCGACGAGCAGAACACGATGCCGCGCGTGCCTTCTTCGAACACGCGCTGCTTGTGCAGCAGCAGACTGTAGAGCGCGTACAGCGCGGGGATCGCCGAGTCGAGCCGGACAGCGAAGTGGCGGATCTGCCGGCTGCTGGGCGGAACTCGCACGAGCGCGCAGCTGCGCGCCTCGAGCAGCTCTTGCAGCGCGGGCAGTTCGAGGTCGTAGGTGGCGGTGAACAGCAGAAAACGGGTCGCCGCGCCAACGCGGCGCAAGATTTGGTCGGTGTCGGCGCGCATGGGTTCTTGCAGCAGCGCATCGCACTCGTCTAGCACTGCGTAGCGAAGACGCTTGAAGAAGGTCACGCGCTCGCAGCTCGCGAGCATCTCGACGAGCCGCGCGGGCGTCGCGACGATGAAGTCGGGAAAATCGTGCAGTTTTTGCTTTTGCGAGAGAAAGTCTTTGCCGCCGATGAGTAGCGCGCAGCGCAGCGTCAAGTTGGCGCCAAAGGTCTCGAGCATTTTTTGAATCTGCACGGCGAGTTCGCGCGACGGCACCAGAAACAGCGCGTAGTACGGCCAGCGCTTCGCAGAGAAGTCTTGCAGCACCGCGAGCACGTAGGCGACGGTTTTGCCTTTGCCGGTCTCCGCGACGCCGAGTAGGTTTTCGCCCGCGAGGATGCGCGGCACGCACTGTGCTTGGATGGGGAATGGCGCGGCGAAGTGCAGCTGCTCGCACTGGCGGAGCAGCGCGACGCCCAGGCCCAGCTCCTCCATAGACAAAGTGGTCTTCGAATTATCGGCGCATTATTTAAAATTCATTTCGGCTGGGGTTTACGGCGGCGGGCGCGTAGATGCTGCAAGCGCGTCTCTGAACTGCGCGAACTGCTCTTTTCGATCTCGCAAAGAGCGAAAAGGAGACTAATGGAAATCACGATTGACGAGCGCATTTTGAGCCCATGCGACAGTTTCACGTGTTCTGCGCAGCTGCAGAGCCAGTTTGTGATTTTCGGCACTGCCGAGGGCCGTGTGCACGTGGTAGCACCACGCAGCGGCGTCTTGCTGAAGTCGGCGTTCGTGTGCCAGCAGTCGATCGTCCAGCTCGCCGCGGCTAGCGCTGAGGGCGTGTCGCTGCTGGTGGCGCTCGCGGCGAACAGCGAAGTGTTCGTGCTGCAGTTCGAGACAGGCATCACGCTCGCGCGCAGCCGGCTATACGACGCGGCGGCGACTCGTTTGCTGGTGGACGTGGATTTATCGGTCTACGTGGCGTGCAGCCAGGGCGCGGTGAAACATTTCGACTTGCGCCCGTTCTTCGGCGCGCGGCCGCACGCGGAGCGCGAGGTCGCGCTGAGCACGTGGTACCAGCATTCGGAGCCGGTGGTGTTCACCTCGCTGGCGCGCGTCGGCGCGCGGCTGCTGCTGGGCTCGACGACGGCGGAACTGTTCACGATCGACTTGCAAAGCAAGCGGTGCGAAGTGCTGTCGCGTCTCAGCAACGTGCTCCTCGGCGCGCGGCTGCACAAGAGCAAGCGCAAGCTGAAGCGGCTCGAAGAAATGAAGCTGAACGTGCCGGCTCGCGTGAGCGTGTTCAAGTTCTTGGCGGACGTGGATGCGAAACTCGGCGCGGCGCAAGAGCGGGACAAGCAGCTGAAGCTGCGCGCGGTCTCGGTGGTGACCTGCCTGTTGGCGACGGAATCGGGCGACGCGCTGTTGTGCGGAGACCGGCACGGCCGCGTCACGTGCGTGTCGACAGAGCTCGGCGACGCGTTTGCGGAGCTGCAAGCGCACGACGGGCCGGTCAGCGCGTTGGTCGCGCTGGACGCGCAGACGTTTCTGTCGGCGGGGTTCGACGGCAAAGTCGCGAAGCTCGTCTTGCGGCAGGATCGGCTGTACCTCGAGGGCGTGCGGCAGCTGTTCTACTCGAGCGTGCTCGGCGCGCTGCCGCTGGGCGGCGAGTTGGTCGCGCACGGCGTGGTGCCCGCGTTCGTGCGAGTGGAGCTGGCGCAGCTGCTGGCGACACAGCGGCCGCTGACGCGGCGCTTTCTGGCGCTGCCGAACTTGGCGAAGCGCTTTGACAGCAGCGCGGAGCAGAGCGTGATCTTCGCGCGCGCGGAGCGCGGCGTGAACGTCTGGGGCGAGGTGCGCGAGAAGCTGCCGCAGCAGCTGCGACTCAGGCTGCTCGAGGAGCTGCGGCACGCGGTGCCCGCGTCGCTGACGGCGGTGGTCGGCGCGGAGCTGTTGGACGCGCAGCTCGCGCAGCACGAGCAGCGGCCGGGGCTGTACAAGTACGTTGCGGTGACGCCCAAAGAAGTGTGTGTGGCCAAGTGGTTCGCGTGGCAGAAGGCAGCGGGCCGCTTCGGGCTGTTGTTGCTGCTGAGTGACCAGAGCGTGCGCTGCGTCTCGGTGACCTGCGCGATGCAGGAGCGCGCGCCGCGGATCGATGCCGCGCCAGACGCGGAGCTCGCGGCGTTCGTCGCCGCGGCGCTGGCGGCGCAGGGCGACTGCGCGGTGGTAGACTTGCTCGAGAGCGGCGAGCCTTGCGCGGCGTACCTGGTATTGCAGTCTCGGCGGCGAGCAGAGCGGCCGTACAGAGCGCTGCGCTGCGACTTGGGGGCGCGGAAAAGCGCGGTTGTGTTGCGCGCCGCGGCGCTGCCTGTTGCGGTGAGCGCGGCGTCTGCCCGCGACGCAGTGTTCACGTTGCTGGACGGCTCGCTGCAACACGTGCTGGACGGCGAGCCGGCGGACACGCTGCGCGCACTGCGGCGCGAGCCGGCGCACTGCTGCGCGCTGTTGAACACGGCGACGCACGTGCTGCTGGTGCAACCGAACTTGGTGCTGCAGATGTTCAACAAGACGGCGGGCGAGCTGGTGTGTTGGAAAGCGCGGCCGTGCCGCGCGTTGGCGGCGAAGGCCGCGCGCGGCGTGCAAGACTCGGGCGTGAAGTTGTTTGCGCACGGCGGCGAGAACTACTTGCTGACGAGCAACGCGCTGTTGCGGCTGTCGATCGACGCAGACGCGCTGCTGTTCGCGCTGCCGGCGGCCGCGCAGCAGCGCGCGCTGCGAGACGCGGCTTTTGGCGAGGGTGCGGTGCGCCTGTTCGCGAGCGCGATCGCTCCAGAGGCGGCCCCGCTGTTCAAGCGGCGGCGCTTCGGCGAGTTGGCGCCGCAGTAGCGGCTTTTTTTGTGCCGGGCGCGGGTTTGCAGCGCGCAGGCGAAATAATATTGGCAATTATTGCGTAGCTGGATTTAGCGAATGGAAATCGAAAACGCCGACGTATTCGTAAGTGTGCGCGCGCGACACGTAGGAGCTGCACGGTTACCAGAAAGCGTGCGCGGACCTCGAGCAGCGCTGCGCAGAGCTGAACGCGGAGGTGTTGAAGCTAGTGGGCGTCGCGAACACGGAGACGGGGCTCGCGCCGGTGGGCCAGTGGGATCTGAAGACGGACAAAAAGATCATTGAAGAGGAGTACGGACTGTTGATCGGCGAGTGCACGTCGCTGATCGAGACGCAGAGCGCGGAGCCGAAAGTCGTCGTGAACCTGCGCAACATGGCGAAGTACTTGGTCGGCATCGGAAAAGACGTGCGGCTCGAAGAGCTAGAGGAAGGCCGGCGGGTGGGGCTCGAGCGGAGCAAGTACCAAGTGATGCGCGTGTTTTCGCAGCACTTGGACACTGAGGTGTCGCGCATGGTGGTGGAAGAGCGGCCGGACACCACGTACAACGACATCGGCGGCTGCCGCGAGCAGATCGAGAAGCTGCGCGAGGTGGTCGAGCTGCCGTTGCTGAGCCCGGAGCGGTTCATCGAGCTGGGGATCGACCCGCCGAAAGGCGTGTTGTTCTACGGGCCGCCGGGCACGGGCAAGACGCTCGCGGCGCGCGCGGTGGCGAACCACACGGACAGTTGCTTCATTTGCGTGATCGGCAGCGAGTTGGTGCAGCGCTACTTGGGCGAGGGCGCGCGGATGGTCCGCGAACTGTTCGCGCTCGCGCGGTCGAAGAAGTCCTGCATTTTGTTCATCGACGAGGTCGACGCGATCGGGCTCTCGCGCGGGAGCGAGGGCACCGACGCGGGCGGGAACGGCGTGCAGCGAACGATGCTCGAGATCGTGAGCCAGCTGGACGGGTTCAGCTCGCGCGGGAACATCAAGATTTTGATGGCGACGAACCGCCGCGACACGCTGGACCCGGCGCTCACGCGGCCGGGGCGCATCGACCGCAAGATCGAGTTCGGGCTGCCGGACCTCGACGGGCGCACCGCGATCTTCCGCATCAACGCGCGCAAGATCGAGGTGGATCCGAACATCCGCTACGAGTTGCTAGCGCGGCTGTGCCCGAACTGCACCGGCGCGGACATTCGCTCGGTGTGCACCGAGGCGGGCATGTTCGCGATCCGCGAACGGCGCAAGGTGATTCTCGAGCGCGACATGCTGCAGGCAATCAACAAGGTGGTCAAAGGATACAAAAAGTTCAGCGCGAGCCCGACCTACATGTTCTACAACTAGCGCGACGTAACGTCTGCGGCGTCTCGGATTATCTGAGCGTCTCCATAATTTTGTTTGATGATGTTCGGCCTACACACACGTCTTAGCGCTTTGGTGCTACTCGCGGGCGCTGTGTACAACGACACGATGGAGCTAATAAAGATGATCAATGATCCTACTTTTGGCGAGTGCAGCAATACCATCAAGCGCATCAACAACTGGGACGACTGCGACCAATATGTGAAACTCCATGTATACTCGCCGAGCTGTTACATGACGCAACTGATCAACATCCATTCCTGGCAGAAGTACATGCAAGACTCGTGGATCGGTTTGTTCATCAACTACGAAAAGCATTTCCCGATCGACCCGGGCAACATGTTCGTAGAGATGGTCAAAGGCGTGATTGAGATCAACGTTTACTCGGAAGAAGCTACGGACTGCTACCCGGCGGACCAGGGCACGATCTACCAGCTGCCCATCGACAAAGACGACCCGTGGCGCTACGATCCCGACCCCCATCTGCTTCAACTGGAGGAGTGTACCCGCTTAGACGTAGACCCGTCTTTGCCGCACTGCACGCCGGTTATCGAGGATACGCCGCGCGGTGTGCGCAAGTACGTGCACGTCGATCGCGACTACTTGAAGAGGCGTCCGCCGGGTCGCCTGCCGACACACATCGCGCTGCGGCTGATTTGCATGGACCCCACGGCAGTCTACGCGTCCAGCATGGCGAGCTTCCAGTTCCGGCTCTGGAAGCGCGTGCATGTGACTACCTGCTACACCGGAGGGAAATACAACCGCCCGGAGTCTCCCGACCTGTGCGACCGGTCCAGCGTCGATTTGAGGCCGCCACTGCTCGGGGGCGAGCGCACGCTGTTAGATACGGAGGTGCCGCCGCTAGTCGAAGCTCTCCGCCCGCCGGGCGCAATAATTGCGCGCAAGTACTCGGAAGAGGACTTCGAGCGCCTCGCGCAGCGCACCGAAGACGACCCGCGGGTGCGCTCCGTGCTGGAGGCGCGGCAGCAGCAGCGCTCGCAGGCGACCCCGGGGCAGCCGACCAATTTTTCAACCGACGCGCCCGCGTTGTCGCCGCGCGTGACAGAAGTAGAGAGCGCAGAGTAGAAACTGCACTCAGACGACCACGCCAGCTCGCGCCGGCGCGGCGTCGTTATCATTTTTCCTGATTTTTAATAGATTTTTCAGCGCGTATGACGCTCGCATGAAGCAGCGGTACTGCGAGCGCATTGTCACCAGATACGTCGCGCGGCCGTTCCCCTTTGAGGTGCCAGAGGGGCTGTACAGTCTCGTGCCGAATCCCCACTTTTCGGTACGCTACGTCAACTCCTTCCGGAAGAGCTACAAACCTGGCTTAATGCTGCCCGCGCTGGCCGCGATGAAGTTCCTCGGCGCGAACCGCGCGATAGCGCCTGCGCACATGAACCTGTCGTTCAGCTTCATGCACCTGCAGCTGATCTTCTGCGCGTTCGGCATGCTGGCCGTCGGTGCGGTCAGCGGCTGCTGCTTCGCCGCGCGCAAACCCGCGCCGCTGGCCGACGCGGACGAAGCCGCGGACCCCGCGCCGCTGATTAAATAATAATTTATATGCAAGTCTGCGCGCGCCGCTGGGCGCCGCGAGTGCGCCGCGCCTCGCGCTAGCGCTGCGTCGCGCCGTGGCGCGCACGAGCATTGCGCTGCCGAGCGAGGCGGCGGCTGTGCGCAAAGTGCAGTTCAGCTTGCGAGCAACGCCTTCGCAGCCTGCCGCGCCGGCACCGCGCAAGACGCGCGTGAAAACTGCGTTTTTCTCGGTGCCTTTCCCGTTCGTCGCCTACGCGAGCCAGGTCGCGTACATTCAGACGCTCGCGCGCGCGCTCGAGCGCGGCGAGCACTGCATTCTCGAGTCGCCCACTGGCAGCGGAAAGACGCTTTGTCTGCTCGCCACCGTTGCGGCCTACCTCACGCGGCGGCGCGCGCTGCGCGAGCGCGAGGAGAATGCTGGCGCAGCCGACATCGACGAGCTGTTCGAGCGCAGCCGCGCCGACGGCGAGCAGCGCTCCGCCGCGCGCGGCGCGCCGACGCGCGTCTACTACTGCAGTCGCACGCACGCGCAGCTCGGACAGGTCTGCGACGCGATGAGCCAGTTGCTGCAAACTTTCCCCGCGGCGTACAGCTGGATGCGCTGCGTGACTCTGGCGAGCAAGCAACAGTACTGCATCTGCGAGAAAGTGCGCGCGAGCTGCTCGAGCAACAGTGAGTTCGTGAACAAGTGCGCGTTCGCGACCGCACGGGGCATCTGCCGCTACCGCAAGCCGACGCAGAGCGCGGTGACCGCGTTCTACGACGCGCATCGCGCGCGCTTCTCCGTCGAAAGGCTGAAGGCCGCGCTGCGCGCGTCCCCCGCGAGCGAGCCGCTCTGCCCGTTCTACTTTGCGCGCGACGCGCAGAGCGGCTGCGAGCTTGTCTTCTGTCCGTACAACTACATCGTTGACGCCTCGATCCGCGCGGCGTACAACATTTCGCTCGAAGGCGCAGTGGTCGTGTTCGACGAGGCGCACAACCTGCCCTGCGCCGCGGAAGACGCGAACTCGTTCAGCGCGCGCTGGACGCACTTCAGCGCTACTGCTGCACAAAGCAGCTGGTTCGAAGAGAAGTTCCCCGCAGCGTCGCACACGGTCTCCGACGCGCGCGGCGCGCCGAAGTGGCCAAACCTCTGCGAGCTGCGGACTTGGGTCGCCGACTTCGGCGACGCGCTGCACCAATTGGTGGCGGAGCAGCAGTGGCGCTCGCTCGGCGACTCGGTCTACCTGACTGTGTCGCTCGAGACGCTGCTGGCGCAGTGGCCGCGCAAGCTGGCGCAGCATGACGCGGACAACCTGCAGCTGCTCACCGCGGCGCTCGAATCGAAGCACGTGCTCGCAGCCGTGCCGCCTGCGCTCGAGAGCGAGTTCATGGCGTTCAAAGAAAACGCGAGCGTCGTCGCCAAGTGCGTGCAGCTGCTCTGCTTTCTCGCGCAGCAGCGCGACCTTTCGCGCCTGAGCTTCACGCTGATCAAGCTCGGGACCGAGTCTGCCGGCAAGCGCGCGCCGCCACAGGCGGCGGACGCCGCGCTTGACGCGCTGCAGCTCGAGATCTGGAGCTTCTCGCCGCAGCTGTCGATGCAGCAGGTGATCGCGCAGGCGCACAGCGTCGTGATCACCAGCGGCACGCTGAAGCCGCTCAGCAGCCTTGCGCTGCAGCTCGCCGCGAGCGAGACGCGGTTCAACTTTCTCGAAAACGAGCATGTGATCCAGCCCCGGCAGGTTTTCGCGAGCTTCGTGACCACTTGTCTGCAGCGCCCGCTAAAACTCACCTACGACCGCGAAAACGACTACTCGCTAGTCGCCAAGCAGCTCGGCCAGATTTTGCTCGACGTCGCCGCCATTTTCGAGAACTGCGGTGTGCTAGTCTTCCTGCCGAGCTACGCGCGCCTGAACGCGCTGATGCAGCTGTGGACGGCGGATGGCACGCGCAAGAAGCTCGTCGAGCTCGTCAACGTCTTCGAAGAAAGCGCAGACGCCGGTCGCACAGAGCACCACCTCGCGGACTTTGTGCACAGCATCGAGACTGCCGACGCTGGCACGAAACAGCGCGCCGCGCCGAGCACGCTCAGCGCGTTCTTCAGAAAAAAGGGCGCAATGTTCTTCGCGCCGTTCCGCGGAAAAGTGAGCGAAGGGCTTTCGCTGCCTGACGACCTCGTGCGCTGCGTGCTTTGCGTCGGCATTCCGTTCGCCTCGCTGTACGACCTAAAGGTCAAAAGCAAGCGCGCCGCGCTGCAGAACCAACCCTACGCCACGCCACAGAGCCGCTGGACCGGCGCCGACTGGTACTTCGATTCCGCGATGGCAGCGGTAAACCAGGCCGCGGGGCGCGTTGTGCGGCACGCGAACGACTACGGCGCCGTGCTCTTCGTCGACGAGCGCTACCACGCACCGAAGTTCCAAAACGGCGTCACCAGCTGGATCCTGAAGAGCATGGCGCGCCGCAGCGACGCCGCGAGCGATTGGACAACTGTCAAACAGGAACTCGGGAACTTCATGGCCGAAATGACTGCCGCGCCCCCGGGCGTCGCGCCCGGTGCGACCTGCAAGCGCCGCGCTGCCAGACCCGCCGCCAGCACCGCGGCCGACGCGAAGAGCGACGCGAAGAGCGACGCGACCGACGCACAGAAGGGCGCGCCGCGCAGCAAGACGCTAAACATGCTTTGGAGGTACAACTGCCCGCCTTGCGCAAATGCGTGCGATTGCTCTGCCGGAAACATCGCGTTCGAGTTGCTGCACGAGGCCACCGCTTCCAGCCGCGCGCCTGGCGGCGTCCTGCCTGCCAACGCTGCAGCCGCCGCGGCAGCGGACTCCCCGACCGCAGACCACTGCCGAAGCAACGGAGTGACGCCCAGCGGTGCGTCGCCGAGGCTTTGCACAAAGTGTGCTCTCGCGGAGCAAGAGTCCGTCTGCGCCGAGTCGCGGCTGCAGGCGCTCTTGGCCGAGCAGTTCGACGAAACGCCACGCCAGAACCGCGCTCGGCCGGGCGCGTGCGGCGACGTCACACCCAACCGCCAGCCCGACGGGCTGCTCTCGCAGCCGCAGACCGCTGCTAGGCTCGCCACTGGGTTCGCCAACGACGACAGCTTTGACGAGCTGCTCGAGCTGCTAAACGCGCCGTAGTACGCAGTAGGGCGACGAAACTCGCGCTGTGCGCAACGCACTCTGCCGCTGTACAAAACTAACGCATCTTTAGCCACAATTGAATCAATACACCAAATTTGCACAGGACCGCGCAAGTGCGCGCGGCTGGCAGCTCGCGAATAGGCGTCCGCTGGCCGCGCAAAGCCGCGCTAGGCACTCGCTTCCACGCGCATCGGTCGCTTCGACGCGCCGTCCTGTTCGCGCGGCAGCGCCTCGTCGATGTGCGTGCTGATGAATGCAACTGCTCACGTCGCACAGAAACTCACTGTTGTTCCCGCGCAGCAGCAGCTGGTCGTACGCGGCGACCAACCGCGCCCCGCTGTACTCGAACGCGTCGCTCAACACCACGTTCATCGTGACGTCCAAACAAATCAGCTTTCCTGCCTGCTGCGCGCAAGCACCTACCCACGACTTCGCTACCTGTCGACAGCACAATGGTGACCTCCCGATTCAGCAAGCTCTCGACGAACTCCGAGGGCGAGGCGGATGACATGTTCCGAACGTCAATAAAAATTTTAATTTCAGCGCGAATTGCACTGCTGCCGCCGCTCTGCACGATGAGCGAGAACGACCAGATTCTGGTAAGTTGCGGGCTTCGAGAGCAGATTCAGCAGTTCCGGCCCAGATCGCTCGACGAGCTCTCAGGGCACACGTTCATTCGCAGCACCAGTAAGTCGCCGCAGCTGCGCCGCAGTCAAGCGTTTTCTCGAGAGCGGCACCTTGCCGAATCTGCTCTTCTACGGCCCGCAGGGCACCGGCAAGACCTCCGTGGCGCAGATCATCGCCTCCGCGATCCACGGCTCGATGAACAGTCTGATGGTAATGGAGCTCAACGCTTCCGACGACCGCGGCATCGACGTCGTGCGCGAAAAAATCCGCGTCTTTTGCGAGACGCTGCCGCAGTCCGCTGCAAGGAGCAACTCGGTGCTGAAGTTCTTCGCGCCGAAAGCGAGCGCCACGCCGACCGCGGGCTGCGCTGTGCATCCGTCGCTGCAGAAAATTAAGCTGCTGATCCTCGACGAGTGCGACCAAATGACAACCGTTGCGCAGACAGCGATCCGCCGTATTATGGAGGTCTACTCGGCGCACGCGCGGTTCATCCTCATCTGCAACGAACTTTTCCGGCTGCAGATCGCTCTGCAGAGCCGCTGCGTCTCGTTCCGCTTCCGCGCGCTGCTGCAGGACGAAATCCGCGGTCGCGTGTTCGAGATTGCGCGGAGCTCAAACATCTTCTTGGACGACGCGACGTTCGACGCTCTTCACTTTCACACGGAGGGCGACATGCGACTCATCCTCAATCTGCTGCAGCAGCTGAAGATGACGCGCAGCGACCAGACCGAGCCTCCGAATACGGAACTGCTTGGCATCCCCAACCCCGAAAAGGCGCGAGCGCTTTACGACGCGCTGCGCGCGGGCTCTCTCGAAGAGAACGTGCACCAGCTCAACGAGTTTGTGCTCAACAACAACTGTGGCTTTTTGCAACTGTTCAAGTGCTTCCACAAGTTTTTGTTTGAGCGCTGCTTGCAGCAACAGTACTACCTGCGCATCTTGCCGCCGCTCGCAAAGCTCGAGAAACTCGCAGCCTCGGGGCTGTCGGATGAGTTGCTAGTTTTGGGCGTGAGTTCTGCGTTTTACGCCGCGCGCGACACGAGCGTATCGCTCACTTGCTAAGCACTTTGGCTCGCACCCCCGCTCGCCGCGCACGCAGCCCTCAGACGCCCAGCGCGCCCTTCGCGAATTGTTTGAACTCCACGTTGAGTTCCCGCAGGTTCCGCTTGATTTCGCCTTCTGTGCGGTGCGGCTGGATGCCCATGAAGTACTCCGTCGGCAGGCCCGTTGCGTTGGCCGCAACGACCAACATGTAGTACTTGTCCGGCGACAGCGCGACGTGCAACCCGCGGCCGTCCGCGCCGCCCATAACGTAGTAAGTGATCCCGTCTTCGCCAACGTCTTTGCGCGCAAGGTAGAACTTGCTGCCGTTGAACATCAAGTAGTCCACTTCGTCGTTCATGAACTGCCGGACCACGTGCGACTCGCTTTCGATGAACAGCTTCGAGCCGTCCGACTGCACGTATTCGTACGAGTGACAAGACTTCAGCGTGTTCGCGTCGAAGTCCGCGAACCAGTACCACAGGTTCATCTGGTCCTGGCTCCAGCCGTACAGCAGCGCGCCTTGATAATCAAACATCGCGATGCCGTCGCAGCGGTCTTTGAGGAGCGCGACGTACGCCTCGTTTTCCATGTCGCCCTTCGGACCCGGCAAATTGCTGAGCTGGTACATCACCATGTTGCGCACCGAAGTGGGCGCCTGCGAACTGACCATCGCTGAAACTGCGTCTGACTGCTAGCGTTGACCCGCTGCGCGTTCGTATTTTTCGTGTAAAATTACACGATCGTTCGGTTTTTATATGCGCAGCATATATTTGCGGAAATCTGCGAAAGTTCGGATGTACTGAAACAGCCGGACCGCTTCTTGCGTCAAATACACGTCGTGCAAGTGCTTGAACACGCTTTTGAATTCGTGAAACGTCAGCATGCCGCTGCGGCTGCGGTTCAGCTTTGCGAAGACGAACTTGAAATAGTACTCGGGCACTTCCGAGTGCAGGTCGAGTAGCACCAGAAAAAACTGCTTGCGGCCGACTGTGTTTAGTTCGAAGTTGCAGAAGCACATGGCAATCCGCTTGATCACGTCGGACGACGCTTCGGGCAACACGGACTCGATGAACTGCGACAGCTGCGCTGTGCTAAAGGCTTCGGTGAAGTTGACGTCCAGCTCGGAGAACAGCGCGCGCAAGCCCAGCGGGATCTCGTCTTCGGGCAAGATGAGCACGAGCAGCAATCTTACGAAGATGTCGAGCACGGTGAACGACTGGGCGCGAATCAAGCGCGTGCGCAGCTCTTCGCGGCTCAGCGCAGGGCGCGCCTCGGCGCCGCGCTGCTCTGGCGCGCGCAGAATAGAGACGCCGGCCAGCCACGGGTGCGCGAGCGCGGCACTCGCAGTAATGCGTTTTGCTTGGTTGTACACCAACATGCGCTTGAGCAGGTCGACGCAGTCGGAGTCGACCGCGGCGATGCTGCTGAAGTCGGGAAAGTAGCCCGCGAGGACGTCCTTGACCACTTCGTCGTGAAAGCCCGAGAAGCAGGGTTTGCCGGTGAGCAACTCGTACAGGAAGACTCCGAGCGCCCAGACGTCTGCGGGAGCTTCGTACGACTGGACGAGCACTTCGGGCGCGCAGTAGTGGATGAGGTTCCAAATCTTGCAGCTCGGTTTGCGCATCTTCGCGATCGCGGTCGCGTGGTCGAAGCGCACCAGTTTGAGCACTGGCAGGTCGATCACGACGCCGCCGACTTCGACGTGCCGCACGTCTGCGACCGCGCAGGACTCTAAGTTGAAGTCTCTGCAGCAGATCTGCCGCGAGTGCAAGTAGCTGAACGCGCGCAGCACTTGCGAGGCAATGTACTTTGCGCACACCAGCCGCTCTTGTAGCAGCGAGAGCCGCGCGCGCTGCAGCGCGTACCAGTCTTCGAGCATGCCCTCGCGGAAGCGCTGCGTGACGAGCAGCAGCGTCTCGTCCGTCTCGAACACTTGCGAGACGTTGATGCAGTACTCCGAGTCGTTTTGCAGCAGAATGTTTGTGACGTTGCGCAGCAGCTTCGCCTGGCGCGAGTTCAGCAGCGCCTTGTCGTAGAGCAGCGCGCAGCTGCGCCGCGCGTTCGCGACGTTCACGACGTCCATGCAGCTGAAGAAGAAAGTGCGGAACCGCGACGCGTCTTCGAAGAAGTAGAAGGGCAAGTGCGAAGTGCGCTGGATCTTCATGAAGCTCAGCATTTGGAAGTAGAACGCGTCATGGTAGAGCAGAAAGGTGCGGTTGCTGATAATGCTTCTGAGCCGCCGAGTGTGGCTATATTTTTTCCTCTCCTCGAACCCGGCGCCCGCGCTACGCGTGCCTACTTCGTAGACGGGCTTCACAATGAAGCCGCTAGCGTTCAGGTCGGCGTACTTGACCGGCGGCACCGCGTCGAGCAGCGCGTCGGCTTCGCTGCCGGCGCCGGCATCGAGGCGCGCGCTTGCAAAGCGTCTGCGGCGGAAGGAGCAGAAAACAGAACGAAATTTCATCGCAGCGAGTCTCTGGCCGCCGCTCTCGCCATTTTAGCATGCAGCACATTAATTCGCGGGGCAGATCTTTTGCGCGAGCGCGGCGTAGTTCGCGCCGACGGTTTCGAGCGAGGCGTTCTGGCTGAACACCGCGCTGCCAGCTACCACCACCGAGACGCCTGCAGCGACGCAGTCGGCCGCATTGTCCAAGTTGACGCCGCCGTCGATCACGATTTCGAGCTGCGGGAGCGCGGCGCGCAGTGCGCGGACCTTCGCGAGCGCGCGCTCGTCGAGCCGCTGACCGCCGAAGCCGGGCGTGACGCTCATGATCAGCACGCAGTCAATCGCGCAGCGTTCCAAAACAGGCCACAGCACGCGGCAGTCCGTCTCGGGGTTGAGCGCCAGGCCGAAGCCCATGTGCGCGGCCTTCACCTGCGCGCACAGCGCGGCGACGGCCTCGAACGTTTGGAGCGCCTCGAAGTGCGCCGTGAAACGCGAGCTGCCCGCCGCCGCAAACGGCGCGACCCACTTTTGCGGCTGGGAGACCATTAAGTGGGTGTCGAAGAACAGCGCGGGGAAGCGCGCGTGCAGCGCGCTGAGCACGCATGGTCCGAAGGAGATGTTGTTCACGAAGTTTCCGTCCATGACGTCCACGTGCAAGTGCGCGCAGCCGCGCTCGACGAGCGCATGCACGTTCTGCGCAAGATCCGCGAAGTCTGCTGTCAGAATGGAGGGCGACAGTGTGGCCATAGGCGCGGACGCAAAAATAGCTGAAAAGATTAATGCGGCTCGCGTAAAAAGCGCAGCGCGCCAGCGCTCAGTAGCCGCTCTTGGCCGCTGCAGATGGCGGCTTCAGCGCGATCTTTTTCATCGCAACAATTTTCACACCGCCCGAGTTCTCGCTGGGCGGGCCGCTTTTCGCGGCGGGCGAGCCGGCGCCGGCGCCGAGTTTCGGTAGCGCAGTCAGCGGCGTCAGCGTGTGCTTTTTGACCGTCACAGGCGTTTGGAACTGCTGTGTCGTCGAGGCACTCAATTTCTCCGGTTCCGCCGTGGAGGACGTCGCAGGCGAGAGCGGCGCGTCGAACGTCGAGCCGGCCGCCGGCGCGGCCGCGCTGAGCCCCGCGGAAGGCAGCTGCAGCCCGAGCGCGGGAGCGGGCGGCTTGGCTTTCAGCGCGGAGAGCTCTGAAACTTTTGGCACGCGCTTTGGCGCGAGCGCCGCGAGCTTTGGAGCGGCGGGCGCCGCGAGCTTTGGAGTGGCGGGCGCCGCGAGATTTGCAGCCGCAGGCGGCGCAGGTCCGGCTTTCTTCGCTGCGCTCGCCAGCGCGACTTTGGACACGGATACTGCAGCGCTGGTCTTCGCGACGGGCGCAGTCTTCGGCACCCCGGCGTTCAGACCGCCGACTTTCGCAGCAGTGGCAGCGGCACCGCGCGACGGTTCCGCCGCCGCTGCCGACGGCTCCGCGACGCCCAGTGTATCCGCGAAGCGCGGCGCGGCAGCGCTGTCGGACGGAGTCAGCTGCAGCGTTTGCTCCATGACCTTTGGGTAGTGCACGGGGCGGCGCATGGAGAACACGTGCGAGTCTTTGATAGCGCGCTCCGCACCCAGCGCGGCGGCGCGGCTGAGCACCATTGACGCGTCGGAATGCAGCCGCGAGTAGAACGAAGCGGTGCACTCGGGCAGCTGGAAGTAGTCGTTCGGGACCGGCGCGTCGAGGTCAAGCAGGTTGATGAACTGGTCGGCCGTGAGGTCCTCCGGCGCCATGAACGTGTCTTTGCGCAGCTGCTCGAGATCGTTCTGCAGCAGCTGAATCAAGCACTGTTGGTCTTCGAGCGTTTTCTCGAGCTTGCGGTTCGCAAGTAGGTTGTTGATCATGTCGAGCTGCGTCGCGCTGTCCATGTCCGAGAAGTAGTAGGCGAGCTCGCTGGTCGTCGCGAACTTGTTGCGGCGGCGCTGGTCGATCGAGTACAGATTTTCGCGCACGGAGCGGCGTGCCCACTCGGGACGTTCGAGCAGGCGCGCGGCGCCGAACTCGGAGTGGCTGATCTTGTCGCGCAGCAGCGGCCGGTGGGTGCGGCGGATCTGCGTCTTTTCCGGCAGCTCCGCGGCCTGTTCAAGTTCGTTGCTGTTTTCGGCGTAGAACACGTTGAAGCCCGAGTTCAGCGCGGCTTCGGAGATCGACGAAACCAAATTGGTCAGCTGCTTCCAAGAGCTGTGCTTGCGCTTCTGCACGGCGTTGGCCGAGATGGCCAGCGAGGGCGGCTCGATTTGCACCTCATCTGAAATGAGGTTTAGCGACTTCGAACTGACGTTTGCGAAGCGCGGCGCCCAGTTCGTCGAGGAGCAGTTTTCGTTCTCGTTCTCTTTTGCGGCGGAACTGGCGCTGGCGTCGGAGAACGCGTCGCGGTCGAGCCGCGAGTGCTGCCGCTCGTTGCGTCGGCTCGCGGCCGAGCCGGGCAAGCTTTGCAAACTGTGCAGCGAGGCGCGCGAGTCCGTCGCGGCGCGGCGCACGATGCTCGCGGAGCCGGAGCGCACGCGCGCGCGCGGCTCGTCGCGCTCGGCGCCGTCGCTCTGGGTTTTCTCGCCGGTGTGCTTGCGGCGCCGCGCGGCGGTGTGCTCGGTCGCGACGCTCTCTGCGTCGGCCGAGCGCGCAGAACTCTTGCGCGCGCTGCGTTCGAGCCGCGACATCAGAAGCGTGCCGGTGCGCGAACGCTCGCGGCCTGGCGCGCCCGGCGTCATCGCTTTGCGCGCGTACGAGGTGCCGACGCTGCAGTCGGTCTGCGCGAGACTGGCCATCGAGTCGATGCGGCGCAGCTCGCTGCGGTCCGGCAGCGCCGAGGCGCCGGATTCGCGCCGGCCGCCGGCGGCGGCGCCGCGGGCCGCGGCTGCACCGCGCGGCGCACCGTCAAGCTGGTTGAGCACTAGCGGGCCACGCAGCGTGCCGAGACACTTGCCGCTCGCGTCGAACGCCAGAAAGCACGACTCTTGTGCCGAGTCCGCGAGTCCGTCTGCGCGCAGCGCTGCAGGCAGCGTCTCTCTTCGCGCGGCGCGCGGGCGCAGCGGCGCGCTCGCGCCCGCGAACTGACCGGCGTGTTGGCCGGCGTTTTGGCCGGCGTTTTGGCCGATGTTCTGGCTCGCGTTCGAGATGTTCTGCATGCGGTTGCGCGGCGAGAAGCCGTCCGGCGCGGCGGTGCGCGCAGCGAAGCCTGGCGCGCTCGCGAGCGCCGCGGGCAGATTTGCCGCGCTCTTCGCGGCGCCGCCGCCGGCGGCCGCGCGGCTCGCGAGCAGAGCGTCGAGGCACGCCTCCGCCTGGTCGAGTTCGTTCGAAAGCGTCTCCGCGAGCATATTACACGAATTCGAATATAAAGGCGCCGAGCGCAGGCTGCACCTCGTTTGCACAGCGCGGGCAAGCGCGCCGGCTACGAGCAGCGGTCCTTGCCGCCGCACGTTTCGGCGTCGAGCGGCGTGCTGAGCCGCTCGAGCCAGACCGCGAGCCCCACGGAGACCGAGACGATTTCCGCGCTGTCCTCGGCGGAGTCGAAGCGCAGCTGCTTGGTGAGCAAGTGCAGCACGCAGCGGTTGTTTTCCTGCTTCTCGAGAAAGGCGTACTGCAGTTTGTCGCGCACGCAGAGGCTCAGCACGCAGCCGACGGTGCCGCAGTGGCGCATGACTTGCAGCCCGTTCTGCGCGAGGATCAGCAGCGCGTGCACGAAGTCTTTCGACGGCATCTGCGAGGCGTAGCAATCGCTGAGGTACGGGATGACGCACTGCTGGCTCGCGTCGCGGAACATGAAGTAGAAGGAGGGCAGCGGCAGGCGGCGTCCGTCCGGTGACGGCTCGAAGGGCAGCTGGACGCCGCCGTAGCAGTGGCGTGCGTCGCACAGTTTGTACACCGGGCTCAGAATCGCCGAGTGCAGCACGCGCTCCACCTCGAGCAGCCCGTTGCCGACGCGCTGGTGCAAGCCGAACTCGAAGCGCGTCGTGCAGCGCTTTTTGCTGCGCGAGAAGAGCAGCCAGTCGCGGTAGAGCATGTGGCACTCCTCGAGCTGCGCGCTGTACGCCTTGCAAATTTGGACGGAGAGCTCGGGATCTGCTTCCGCCTCGCTCGCGGGCGCCTCGTGCGAGCGCGGGCGCGAGTTATAGTCGCCCACCGCGAAACTTCTGCGCCGCTGCTGCGGCGGCGCGCTCGGGCAGAGCAGCAGCGCGTCGCCCGCGTCGGGCGTCTGCAGCCGCCGTAGCGACTGCGAGCGGCTGCACAACTGGTTGCAGATCGGCTTTGGAGAACACATTGCTTTGAACGTCAAGCGCGAACAGCGGCCGCACGCCGCCAGTCACGAGAACTGCGCATTGGGCGCTACTACAAGTCGAATAGAAACTGGCAATCAAAAAAATAAATCAACATTCTATCATTAAACCTCGTTAAAAAGCCTCCCACTTGCTGATTAGCGGACACGGCTCCAAGTGCCGCAGCGAGGCGTTCGCCGGAAACGCCGCGGTCGACTTGACGAGACACGGTTTGAACACGGGCGCCTTCAACACGAGGCTCAGGTCGGGCGCGAGGTGGTTCAGCATGCGCTGGTTCAATTTGTACAAGTTCACGAGCACGGCGCGCAGTTCCGCGAGCCACTGTTTTGCGAACAGCTTGGGCAGCGCGTCCGCTCCGAGCAGCGCGCCGCACGCGAGGTCTGCGAGCCGCAACGGCGCGCGGCAGTTCGGCCAGTGCAGCGTCATTTCCGCGACGCGCTGCGCGCCGAGCACGGCGTTCACCGCGGCGCGCGCGAGACAGGGCGCGCGGCAGGCACACTCGAGCTGCACGTAGGGCAGCGTGTGCATCAGAGAGCCCAGGAACGACTCGCAGTCGCGCGCAGAGTGCAGCTCGGCGAGCTCGCCGGCGTCGCTTTTCAAACTGGCGCACCACACGCGCACGGGCGAGAAGTTGAACGGGCCTTCGCTTTCGAGCCGCTTTTGCAGCGCCGCGGCCAGCGTTCCTTTGAACGCTGGGCTGCGCTCCGCGCCCGGCGCGCCTGCGCTCGGCAGCTGCGCGAGCTCCGCAGCGGGCGCGTCGAATTCGCGCGCGGCGCGCCCGCGGCACTCGGCGCACGCGGCGCACTCGCGCGCGCCGAGCACGCAGTCGAGCGGCGGTGCGAGTGCGGCGCAGCAGCTGCGCCGCGCGCGCGCGCCGGCGAGCGGCGTGGACGCGGAGCGCCGGCTAGACATTGGGAACGTCGGCCGGCTGTTCACCTCGGAGGAGACGGACTTGAAGAACTTAAGCGCGGCGGACTGGCTCGGACTCGAGAACCCCGCGGAGGGCAAGAAGCGCCGCAAAGAAGAGCGGCTCTTTCCGCTGCTGAACAGCGAGGTGCGGCAGCAGCTGCGCCGGCGGCTCGAGGACAACTTCGCGGGCTCGATCGACCCGCAAGCGTTCGACGGCGCGCTCGCCGCGGACGTCGGCTTCTTCGGCGCGAACTTCGCGGCGGAGCCGTCCGCGGCGAACGCCGGCGTCGGAGCGCCGCAGACGCTGGAAGCGTCGAAGGCGCAGCAACAGGAGAAGCTGCTGCGCTACGTGCTGCACTCGGAGTCTTCGAACGCGGACTGCTGGCTGAGCCTCGTGCGGCTCGCACGCGCGCGCGGGCAGCTCTCGAAGGCGCGCAAGCTCGCGGCCACGGCGTGCGCGAAGCTGCCCGCCGCGCCTGCGCTCTGGCTCGAGGCAGCTGCGCTCTTTCCGCCGGAGCAGGCCGCCGACTGGCTGCAGTCCGGGCTGAAGCACTGCGGCAAGTCCGAAGAGCTCTGGCTCGCGCT